TGTGTCCAGTTCTTGGCTCCACAGTACAAGAGGGATGTGGAGCTGCTGGAGAGAGTCCAGTGCAGGGCTACAAGGATGATCAGGGGCCTGGAACATCTGCCCTATGAGGAGAGGCTGAGGGAGCTGGGCCTGTTCAGCCTGGAGAAGAGAAGGCTGAGAGGGGATCTAATCAGTGTCTATAAGTACCTCAAGGGAGGCAGTGAGGAGGATGGTGCTGGTCTCTTTTCACTGGTGGTCACTGACAGAACTAGAGGAAATGGCCGGAAACTGAAAAACCAAAGTTCCACAGGAACTTAAGGAAAAATTTCTTGACAGTGAGGGTGACAGAGCACTGGAACAAGTTGTCGAGAGAGGTTGTGGAGTCTCCTTCTCTGGAGATCTTCCAAACCCGCTTGGACGCAGTCCTGTGCCACGTGCTCTGGGTGACCCTGCGTGCGCAGGGGGGTTGGACTAGATGACCTCTAGAGGTCCCTTCCAACCTTAAGCATTCTATGATTCTATGATTCTATGAATGTTTCTAATCCCTAATCTGAAATTTAAAAATTGGAGAGATAGTACATAATGTTTTCATAAGATGAAGTGTCAAACTCACTTATCACAAAAGGAGATTTTCTTCTGGAGACCATCCAAAAAAAAAAAAATTCCTTCTAAGAGGTTTTTGTCCTGATGTGTAGAATGGAAACTGGGTATCTTGTTTTTCTATGAGTTTAAGATTAATTTAAATTAATATAATTTTATCTGATAATTTTAAAGAATTTTGAGAACTTACTGCTTTAATATTCCAATCTGTTTTAACATTCAAAATAATGAAATGCTTCCTATTCCTTCTTCCATGTTCTAATTTTTCATCATACACTGAAGTTACAAGGGAGATTTTGAAAATCAAAGACATTTTAAAGCATGTGTCTATTTTTTGTCTCCCAGTGCATAAGCTGATGATTAGAAATTGTATGGGAGAGTAACTCAAGTAATTTTTATTTATAAAGGCCAAAATTTTAAAATTTTCACACTTCATATTTTCTAACTTATCAAATATTTCACAGAATTCCAGGAATTACTTTTTTCAACTGAAAAAAAAAACATAAAAAAAGCAAAAGGAGAATGAGCTTTTAAAACACAAAATGAACATAATTGACCCAGTAGCTGGTTTCTGGACAGATTAACTTTCAGGAAAAAAAAAAAAAACACTGTGTGATAAGAATTGGTGTTAGCTGTGAAGTATAAATTTCAAATGTTTTCAGCTGTTCTGCAGATGACGATCTAGTTCACATTTTCAGCTAATTATTTATCACACAGTTTTATTTTTCTTCCTGTTCTTTTCTAAGCATCCAAAGGTTATTGTGTCCTATTCTTAGAAATGTCTATAACCCATCTGAATATAACATTTTGCTGCATAGAAGCAAGGGAAAATGTGGGAGCAGTATAAAATAAATAGCACAGATTATTATTCGTCATCTGCTCGGTTTCTTAAGAAACAAATATATCTATAGAGAGAGAGAGAGAGAAGTAAAAGTATCCATATATATAAGTATATACATATATTGTTTGATATTAAAGCTAAAATTTATTTTTATCTTTATTCACTAGTGCAAGCTCTGAATATCTTTAGCTGAGTAAAAATGAAACAGGCTCCTTACTGTAGGACCATCATGTTTGCTAATCATTGTTTCTTCTCTCATGAGCAGAACCTTAGCAGTTTTTCCGTAAGTTTACGTTGTAGTGTGTGTAGAGGTGTTGGACTGAGCAACCAGTCTCTCAAGTATCTCCCTTGCTTTTTCTGGAGCACAAAAGGTAGTTCTCAAGCCAACACTGCATCAGATAAAAGACAATCCAGTGCTCCAAGTGCTTCTGGAATTAAGAAGTTTGTCAGAGTCCAGACATGCACAAGGCCATGGGCCCTGCTGGGATGTGCCCACAAGTGCTGAGGGAGCTGGTCGCTGTCATTGGAAGATGTCAATCATCTTAGAAAGATGGTGGTTATCAGGAGAGGTGCCTGAGGACTGCAAAGAAGCAAATGTCATTACTGTTTTCAAAAAGGGCAAAAAGGAGGACCCAGGGAACTAGGAGCAAGTGAGACCTTGACACTGGGAAAGACAAAGGAGCAGCTAATCCTGGAAACCATTTACAGACATGGCTTATCAGTGATCTGGATGTAGGGAGAGAGTGCAAATTTGGTGATGACACAAAACTGGGAGGAGTGGCTGGTACACTAGAGGACTGTGCTGCCATTCAGAAGGACCTCAACAGGCTGGATATGGAGAGACACCTCATGAAGTTCAACGAAGAGAAGTGCGAAGTCCTGCACTGAGGAGGAATACACCAGCACACCTAGGGGCTGGCCTGGTGGAAAGCTGCTCTGTGAGGAAGGACCTGTGATTCCTGGTGATGAACAAGTTGACCATGAGCCAGCAGCGAGTCCTTGTGGCCAAGAAGGCCATTGGTCTCCTGGCTGCATTGCCAGCAGGTGGAGGGAGGTGACCCTCCACCTCAGCCCGGTGAGGCCCCACCTGGAGCTCTGTGTCCAGTTGTGGGCTCCCCGGTACAAGAGAGACATGGAGCTACTGGAGCAAGTCCAACAGAAAGTTACTAAGATGACAAAGGTATCATGTCTCCTATGAGAAATGCTGGGAAAGCTGGGACTCTTCAGACTGGAGAAAGTAGAGGGGGATCTTATTAATGTGTATAAGTGTCTGAAGGGACAATGTCAAGAGGATGTCACCAGACTGTTCTCAGTGGTGGCCAGTGTCCTGATGAGAGAGCAATGGGCACAGAATGAGACACAGGAAGCTCTGCCTGAACATGAGGAAAAACGTCTTTTCCTATGAGGATGACAGAGCACTGGAACAGGTTGTCTAGAGAGTTTTGGGAGTCTCCATCCTTGGAGAAACTGAAAATGCACCTGGACATTGTTCCAGGAAAACTATTCTAGATGACCCTACTTGAGCAAGAGGGAGATAGGCTAATGATGTGCAGAGATCCTTCCAGCCTCAATCATTCCATGATTCCATGAGAGACACAACTATGTGAGGGGCTCTGAGGCAAAATTAGGCACTTGTGGAGAAGTTGTCCAAATCAACACAAATCAACAGTAAAGATCTTTTTTCCTTTGTCCCTCAGTCTTTTGCAGTCCTGTCTGATACTGGAGCAAAGTATAAACATTATTTGTCTGCTGCATATATTTGATTTCTTTGGAGCTTCTAAAACTTTCAAAGCTAGTGAAATTACAACGTGAGCCTTGTCAGATCAAGAGATTTATGCTACTACTTGCTTGCGTTCAGTAAATGTTGTGGTGGCAGACGTATTTCACTTACGTGGACCTACAGGCCACGCACTAAATCTCACTTGGCCACTAGATTTAGTTGCCACTTGGCAACTAGATTTTGAATCAAGTTAGAGAGTTTCTCAACATTTTACTGGTGTGTTGGTGGTTCGACACATATTCTGTGACACCTCAGCATGAGGAGAATTTCTCCAGGAACTGGAATCGGAAGTGAGTGCAGACGAAAGCCTTCTCCGGAAGCTAAGGAAAAGCTTAGGTTTGGCGCTTCCAATATGTGGTTCAGGGAATCCAGTCACTTTCACTAAAACTGTAATTCTTAATGGTGTATCATTTATGCCCATGGTTTCCAACAACGAACTAGGAATGAGAGACTTAGGAACTGATATTTGAGAAGGATTCTTGTTATGTACTGTGTGAAACACTGCCAGATAATTTCTACTTTCATAAACACATTTAACGTAGATGCAGATGTC